ATAAGTGTAACGGTGTTTACCATCAACACAGAATTAATTTATTTTTAAACTATTTCCAATAATGTTGTTAAAAGCGTTCATACTTCAACTAACCAAAGTATGGAATCTATCTATCCTATTTAAGAGCGGCGCTCTTGTCGATGGAGCTCTTGCCACTCACAACGATTTTCTTCGAGTCTCTTCACCTCTTGATACGACACGACACCAACTTCTTCCTTTGGGGGAAAGGGATTGTAAGTAATAGAGACTGAGAATCCCATTGCTAGCAATATACCCAACCAGGTCGATCTCCTCGCGGTTCCCCCTGGAAACTATCATGGTAAATTCCTGATGTATTCATCATGATGGGCTAACTGGCCTGTTCTCATTCTCATCTATCACCCTTCACTGGTGCTCCGCCAGCGTATTCCGTTAGCGCAGTCGGGGTTACCATACCATTTTCACCCAACAAAAAAAAACTCCTTCCTTTATCTGTGTTATGAATATAGATTTAAGTAGTTAAGGTCACATCACTAATGGAACGGCGCATCACTATTGTCGCATCCTCTCTCGATATACTCGTGTATGTCGTCACCACTGTACTAATGTCGGTCTCTATAATTAAACCAATAAGTATTAAACAAGTCTGTCATTTATTACCAAGTCAATACAATCTGTCTGATGTAACTATGCCTTGGTCTCCCTTTTCCTTCTATCTTCCCTTCTGTATGTATGTATGTAAAGTATGGCATATATAAAAATAAAAACTTTATTAACAAAAAAATGTATTTGCTACTGTTGAAACAATTGAAACAAATCCGTTTCGAATTTAATTCGATCGAATTGATTTAAACTGTAACGGAATCGATTATCAGGCATTATTGAATAATCGGTAACGCGTTAGAGCTTCACTAATTGATTTATTACCAAAAACAAAATATAGTAAGTATCTATCGATTCGAATTTATTACTGCCTACTTACATTTTCATTTCGACTTTTCGTAAAAATTCATAACAAATATTTAATTATACTGGTAAACAGTGATTTTGTTAAAGAAAATCGAGTTGCTTTTTTAAACACTACTACGTACCCACAAGTTAACCTCATAATTAGTTTTGTTTAATCACCCTTTTTTTTAGACTTTAGAATAATTATTCTAATTAAATTGTGTACCACAAAAAATCCAAGTTCAATTATGGCGAAATTAGAGATTTTGATTTTAAAACTAAATTATTGAACCGATTCTGATAAAATTTCTATGGCACCAATCTGTATGTATATTCTTTCAGTTAAAAAAATCTCCAATTCAGTTTACAAATGACAAAGTTATGAGGTAACAAACAAAAAAAATACAACAAAATTGATAACATCCTGCTTTTTAAAATTGGTTGAGAATGCGCAGGAGTTCTCCATTGTACATGTTGTGATTTGTAAGTCAATATGGATACATAAGTGTAATTTATTTGTTTATTTATTTATTTATTTATTCATTAGTACAAATATGTGTACATGGCGGACTTAATGCTAAAAGCATTCTCTCCCAGTCAACCATAGGGAAGTGTCAGAATACTCGAATGCGGTACTACTAATTATTGATATACATACATACTAAAATTACATATATAAACGAATAAATATATATATAATATAATTGTTTATCTACAACAATTTTCAAGTTTTTTTACCGCATAATTACGTTTCTGTTTTGCCAAAAGGTTGACTGCGAACGCTTTATATTTATAGAATGCTTTATAGTATTAAGTCCGTCTTTTTTACCAGACATTTTTTTTTATGTGACACTTTCCATCAGGGGGGCCGTTAGCTTGTTTTCCATTTTAAGTTGCTTAAAAAAATATTTTTATGCAGTCTTTCTCTAAGATCTATTATAAGTTCTTTTAGCAATGACGTGGATCTGGAGGATATAAGAAGAGGAAATTAGGAAGTGAAAAGGTGGAGTTAAAATTTTCGCGGAATTGAATCATACATCCCAATAATCCTTCCTCCCATCCGTCACTCCTTATTTTGAAACTGCTTTATTAATATTTTTTTATACGCAACTTAGAATGACAAACAATCTGACGGAACATACCTGATGAAAAACGATAACCGTCGCCTATAGACATGAACAGTACCATGGTCAAAACAGAATATACTGTTACGCCCATAATACCATTCATGTATCGTCATTCCTGAGGACTCAGGTGTTATTCCTCTGAACCCTGCAATCACTGCCATATTCCACCCTTCAAACCGAAACACAGCCATGCAAACACAACTGCTTCACGGTTGTAACACGAATGGGACTGAAGTGCTCAAGCAAACGACTTTTGTACAAAGTCTCCCTCTAGCAATATAATATTACTAACATTTAGGTCACTTCCCAATATCGTTAGAATATCGTGCTAATGAACATTTCTAGCTGCAGTATGATTATAGTGGACACGGTGCTCAGATAAATTTCCGCAAAATAACATTGTAAACTGACGAAACCTCATTACGAGGTTTATTTCGCGATCAACTAAGTACATTCTGTTCCTACTACTTACGCAATATGTTTATACATGTAATAATAAATGTATACTGGTTTTTTTTTTACTGGGTGAAAATGGTATAGTAACCCCGCCTGCGCTAACGGGATACGCTGGCGGAACACCAGTGAAGAGTGATCGGTGAGAATGAAAACAGGCCAGTTAGCCTATCATGATGAATTCATCAGGAATTAACCATAATAGTTTCCAGGGAGAACCGCGAGGAGGTCGACCTGGCTGGGTATATTGCTAGCAATGGGATTCTCAGTCTCCATTACTAACAATCCCTTTCCCCCCAATGTATACTCGTTAGAAGTTTATCTATTAAACAGTATTAAAATGTGTCATTAATATTATCGCGTATTTATTGTAGATAGATAGATAGATACTCTTTATTGTTTCCTCCAAAAGATTACAATAGTAAACTTATTATAAATATAAATAATTACAAGAAATAATCACAATGAGAAAACAACGGGCGACCTTATCGCTAAGAGCGATCTCTTGCAGGCAACCTTTGGATGGAGAGGAGTAATTATAAACAAATTGTATCATATTAAGGCCCACCTATATTGGATGTCATAAATAAATAAATAATTAAATAACTAATTATAACCTCTTCCTTTCCCATGGATGACGTAAGAGGCGACTAAGGAAACTTAATAATCAAGGGATAGGCAGCAGCGTCCCTTTTAAAACACCACCAAAGTGTAACTGCGGTTGCCAATCCGCATGCCGAGCGTAACGACTTCTGGCAAACCCCTACTGGGGATAGGCCTATTCAGTACCCTACTGATGAGGCCTATGCTTAGCAGTGGACAGTTAACGGCTGATATGGTTTATATCCCATCTTGATGATGATGATCTTGATATGTCCGTCCACACTGCACTTACGTGCAACCAAAGGAAAGAAGCAATAGCAAAACTATTCTACGGAATGGAAATACAGTTCAAATTACGAGCAAAACATCTAATAAGATATAATCTAATATGATGAGTTGGTTGATGAAATTACTTATTGACAGTGCTCATACCCGAAGTTTCCGAAACCCCGAAGAAGTGTGATAGAATCTGAAATCTGAAACCTCCATTTGTTGTAACTCCACAATTCCACCGCACGCTCCTTAACATTTCTAAAAGCATTGGGGTTCTTGGTTTTGACATCTCTAGTAACGTACAGTTTCGAGGCCACTTCGAAGACAAAGTGAAGTTGACATCCAAAAAACTCGGTGTGCTTAATAGAGCAAAGAAATACTTAATGCCGGATCAACGATTAATACTTTACAAATCGCAAATCCGGCCCCATATGGAGTATTACTGTCACTTATAAGCGAGAACACAGATACCAGCTTGAACTCTTCGATTCAGTGCAACGACGAGCTATGAGAATTGTCGGTGATCCCAGGCTTACAAGCGGTATCGAACTCTTAAGTCGAAGAAGAGATTTTGCCTAACTCTGCGTGTTCTACCGCTTGTACAATGGACTATGCTCAGATGAAATATTCAATATGATGCCCACGGCTACTTTCTTCCATTGTACGGCTCACCATCGACATACCTCCATACTTTAAAGCCTGGATGATCGCGTACAGCGCCGTTTCAGAGGTGTTTCCTCCCACGAACACTCAGGTTATGGAATGAGATCTCCGTCGAGGTTTTTTCAAGAGACTACAGCTTGAGATTCTTCAAAAAAGGAATTGCGCTTTGCTGGCGTTGCTAATCCTAAAGAGATTTCTTTAATCCTAGGAGCATTACGTATTGACGAACAATAACCGCTTAGGTACTATTAAGTGGGTCGTATGTTTGTTCGCTACCTTAGTGATATATAAAAGAAAATAAAGATGTCTCTAGAAATGATCTCGAGATACCTACATACACTGACTCCCTGCAATGCATTTGAGGTCGTCGCTCGTTGTAGTGGAAGGCAGGGGTCATCTTATCCAACGTTTGTCTGTATAGGGTCAACACTCGAGAAAGGCTCTCGAGTGAAGCCTATCTGTTATCGATTCTTCGAATTATGTGGCATAAATATTATACAGTGAGGTAAACTTTCCACTAAGCTGGCCGCAGAAGCCAGTTCACTTATAAAATTTTATTATAATTATTATTATATGCTTATTAGAATCAATACAATCGAATGTCACATCACTTTCTATTAGCTACAACGGAACTTAAAAACCTGAACACACATAAAAAAAAATAAAGCAAAATAAACAAAAAAGTCTCTCCTTATTAAAACAAAATAGTACAATCAAATCGTACCAATAAATGTTATATATGCATTATAAAGTACAATAACTTGAATAGAACGTATACATTACTGTTTCAATACGTACATCTCTATTAACAATACGTATCAAAGCAGCATAATACATGGAAATCTGATATTACCGTTATTGAAATCGAAAGAGATCGCATCGCAGTACGCAGATCCTATCACTGAATGGAAAGGCAAGTAGTACATTTCACCAAGTATAAAACGGTTGTGGGGATCAGACATGGCACCAGTCAACAGTAAACGTCGACAACACCACTTACAAGTATCAACATGATCGCTTTCGTAAGTTATTCAACATATTTTATAAGAAAACATCAAAAATGTAGTAGTGTCTTTGCCTCTTGAAATGTGTAATAAAAATAAATAAAAATAAAAATTCCATTTTTAAATTCGTTCCAAATTGTAAATTGACGATGTTATATTAGTGACATAACACCACTTAAGTTATATAACTATATCATTGCCCAGTGAAGGGATTACGTTGCTTCCTTGTTATCTTACTTGTACGTAATTAACTTTATAAATTGTTACTTGCAACACATTTAAAAATTGTAAACATATCGTGAATCCTTTATCACTTTTTATTTAATATGTTTAAATTTAGCTATTTGTTTAATATGCATAAACGTACATGGAATTTTTGTCTTAATTTTATTATGTATTAATTATAAATAGTAAATATCAATCCAGCACTATGTAACTGTTTATGTAATCAAAATTATACAATTTATTTAACGTTTTCAATTTGTGTTTGAAATTAAATATCACGTTCTAATTCTAATTATATTCTAATTTTAAATGAACACATTATATAATAAAAAAGTTATAATCAATTATTTTTTAAATCATAGACAATTTTTTTTTCTTTTTTTTAGAAAGCAACAGCTGTCCTCCTCATTGCGAGCCTAGCCGCCGCGCGTCCCTCCGAAGAATGGCAACCGGAAGGCCACTCGCACACTGAACACACGAAGCCGTACCACGTGACGGTGGTGAAGAAGATCGGTGTCCCCGTGCCCCATCCCGTGGCAGTCTCCGTGCCCCAGTACGTGAAGGTGCCTATACCACAGCCGTACCCCGTACACGTGACTGTGGAGCAGCCCATACACGTGCCTGTTTACAAGGTAATTTTTTGATCTCTTTTTATTGTCACATTGAAAATAATACCTATTATTATTATAATTTACACAGAATATTACATTTTACCTTAACAGACTCACTAAAGTAGACTTGATCGAAGTAAAAATCTTGATTGACACCACATCAACGTTACTAAGAGAAACGTTACTTGTAACAAAAAAAAAACATTATTTACATATTTATTTATTCTTCACTACCAGTAATACTTGACTTTTCCTAAATTATAATAATTTTTAACAATACACTTATTAAATTGTTTAAAATATATTCAATAAATATTTAATTACAATATTTACTTAAATTAAATTTATAAATCTTTTTTAACTAAATTACAAAAAAATTACAAACTGAAAATTAAATTATGTAACAAATCAATTGTAAAGCTTCAAAATTTTTGTATTAATAATAAATACTTTATTAGCATTCTTATTTGCAAGTATAAAAAGTAACATCCTCAAATAAATAACTATATTTTGATATGGCAACGTTAACTATATCGTTAAATCGGAATAAATTGCGAAGGAAACGACAAGAATAAATTACCTAATAATAAACGATCGCATATACTTAGATAGATTTACACCGGCGTGTCGCCGTCTCCCATTAAATACCTATATAAAACGTGACTGAACCACTTAATACGTAATTAGATACGTTATTTTCTCCCATAGTTTATCACACATATCTTAAACTAGCCATAAACTGTTTGTGTAAATTGAGATACCTAAGATTTTTTTATCTTAAAAGATCCATCTATTGTCGAATTTCATCGAAATCGAAAAAAAATAAACTAAAAACTATATTATTTATAACATACTGAACTAGAATTATATGAATGTTAAAAGTCAATGATGCATACAATATTTGTTAAAACTAAATTAAATTAAAATTTTATACTAATTTAATTTGAATAATTTATGATTGAATTCCAGGGAAAAATGTTTCCAATCTTGACAAAATTTGTATAAAATGGGAGTAAACTGTGCACATCGTAATAATGATCGTCATGAATCAACAAAATCATAAATAACGAGATTAAATCACGTAACATGTACACGCAAATGTAAATGCATTCTAGTTTATAACCTACTTTTTAAAATCGTTTAAAGACATTATTTGCGTCACCTAAAAATGCTACCTAACTAAAAAGTAAAATCCAAAATGAGAATGACTTCCACTTCGTGTCTGAATCGGTGGCCACAATTCTGTAGATTATGTCATATCTATTGTTACATGTTCTCTTTACGCTTGCGCATTTAAGAGTAATTTTGCGATCAGTGACATAGATACGCCGCGATATGACACTGCACCAATTATTATGTAATGCAACTGGCCACGAAAGTAAAAGTGACAGTCAATAGACCCTAACGTGGCGTGTTTCTTTTCTCAACTCACTCACAGTTCCCGCGTATTTATGGCAGTAAAATGATTGCAGAACGTCACTATTAAAAAAAAAAATTGAAAAAAATCTTTAATTAATATTAAGAAGTGTTCGAAATTCAAATTCGTTCAATTAGCTCAATTTAAACTAGATTAATTAATAAAAGTTAGATCTCAATTTAAATTAGTTTAATCATTAAAAATAGTTCGTTTTATAAATTAATTTCAAAATAATAGAACAAATTCAAATCAAGAAATAGATATCTCACCTTTTTTTTTAATTTAAATAACTAAAAAGATTTAATTGAAACTTTTCATTGAGCTTATTTAAGTTGACGCCATCTTAAAAATTTTGGCGCGTTCGTCATAGGTACCTATTTAATATTCAATTTCTTTTTTTTTTAGGTTGTCCCCCAAGTAGTTGAGAAGCCAGTGCCGTACACCGTCGAAAAACCAGTACCCTATGAAGTCGAGAAGCCTTACCCCGTTGAGGTTGAAAAGAAGGTTGAGGTACCGATCCCCAAGCCTTACCCCGTCCACGTGCCCGTATACAAGCACATCTACCACCACAAGGGTGGCAAGCACTAAAAAAACAAAATAGCCAAAATAAAAAAAAAAGGGGCATTGTAGATTAAAAAGAATATAGCTTACTCTGTAAGCATTTCGTTGTCCCGCGGGCCACTGAATACGGCCAATTGCTCCTATGTAAATAAATCTTTAATGTAGGTATATTTGATGGAGATGTATTTCCGTCAGTTGACTACTGTTGAAATGTGATATTTATTGTGTGCCCAGTTATAGTTGTATGTTGTTTTGTTGCTGTTGACTGCAATCGTTGTTGACTATTGTGTAATTGTTGTTGATTATTAATAGATAATAAGATTGTTGTAAAATATACGTAAAACTCACGAGACATACTTGTTTTTTTTTTTTTATTTTTTTTATTTAATACAGACTGATGCACGATTTTGATACTTACAACGACATATCCTTATATCCACTACTAATATTATAAATGTGAAAGTAAATTTGTTTGTTTATTACCTCTTATCGGTTTAATGACTTAACCAATCACTATGGAATATAGTATAAACATAATATAAAATAGAGAGGGACTTAAACTTTTTTTATTATATCACGAAAGTGGCAAATAAGCATACAGGGAGGTGGGGGATTGTTACTAAGGCGGACTACCAGTCCGATTGCTAGCAATATACCCTGACAGGTCGACCTCCACGTGGTCCCCCCTGGAAACGGGGAGGAAAGCTAACTGACCTGTCTTTTCATTCTCACCTATCATCTCTCACTGGTGCCCCGCCAGCGACTACCGTCAGCGCAGGGGGGGGTTACCATACCATTTTCATCCATTAAAAAAAATAAGCATACAGCTCGTCTGATGGTAAACGGTCACTGTAGCTTTTGGACGCGTGCAACACTAGAGGTGTCACGTGCGCGTTGCAACAATAATGGTGCAGATCTAGCCTCCACTATTGTTATATATCCGTTATATTTTCTTCAATTGACCATTTTAAACAAAATATGAAAAATCGTAACTAAGCAATAGTAAAAAATGTCCAGTACTACAACAAATTGTTGTTAAAAAAATAAGATTTTTTTTTTAATATATATTCCATAAAAAAATCGACTTGGATTGTGGCAAAACTTGTTATTTTGATTTAAAAAGTAAACTACTCGACCAATTATAATGGAATTTCTATAGCAACAATATTTATTTATTTATAATATTTTTTGGAAAACGTACAGCTGAATTACTGTTAATACATAATCAAATTTATATCTATGTTAAACCATGAATAGTTTTCACATTAATTAATTATGGATATATGTAAGTACAATATATATATATATATATATATATATATATATATATATATATATATATACTACACAAAATTATAGTTAAGAGGTAACGAACATTAAAAAAACATACAACCAAATTGAGAACTTCCTTTTGTTTTTAAAGTCTGCCGAAGTACCATAGACAATAAATCTTGCTTTATCGACTCTTTGTAGGTGCATAAAATTGTTAGTGCACAAATCGTGTGGTCACCGGTAGGTGAAACGAAAAGTGGCCATGCAACGGTGCATCCAGCAAGATACAAACTCCATATCATCTATAAGAGAGCAGATCTCAAATGAGGCAACTTTCACTGCGGCGGTCAAGGCCCCGGTCGATGACTGAGCTCTGTACTCTCACCCACATCATATTCGCCTTACATCGTTGTATTCATCCTTATGCATAGGAGGAACACTCGAACTCAACAGGCAATGGATGGGACGAAACGCGGAAATACAATATTGTGATGATGTAGTTTTAGATAATAGTAGTGCCTAATAATATTTTTTTTTATTTCAGCGTATTTTGCAATATGCATGGAGCTATCCATGTCTATAGACGATGGTTATCACTTTTCCTGGACCGTCAACTTGTTTGCCATTCTAAAATGCATAATTTCTTTCATACAACTTAGAATGGCAATATAAGCTGACGGCCCGCTTGATGGAAAGTGGTAACCGGTACCTATAGACCGTTACCCATGGATATAACAGAGTATATTTAGGGGGGAAAGGGATTATTAGTAATGGGGACTAAAAATCCTATTGCTAGCAATATACCAACCAGGTCCACCTCCTCATGGTTCCCCCTAGAAACTATCATGGTTAATTCCTGATGAATTCATCATGATGGGCTTACTGGCCTGTTTTCATTCTCATCTATCACCCTTCACTGGTGCTCCGCCGGCGTATCCCGTTAGCGCAAGCGGGGTTACCATTCCATTTTCATCCACTAAAAAAGAAAACAGTATATTTTGTCACCCATGATACCCATCACGCGTTGCTATTCCTAAGGACTAAGGTGGTATGTCTGTGTACTTTGTAATTTTATTACCATACCCCACCTTTCAAATCAGGGGCAGGAATTGTTAGTAATGCGGACTACCAGTCCCATTGCTAGCAATATACCCTGTAAGGTCGGCCTCCACGTGATCCCCCCTGGAAACCATTGTGCTGAATTTCAGATGTATTCACCATGATGGGCTAACTGACCTGCTTTTCATTACCCCCCTATTATCCCTCACTGGTGCCCTGCCAGCGTATACCGTTAGCGCAAGCAAGGTTACCATTCCATTATCATCCATTAAAAAGAAACCTGATAATAAGTGATAACTATGGTGGTAAATAATGAGGGTGACAAAATATACTGTTTTCTTTTTTAGTGGATGAAAATGGAATGGTAACCCCGTCTACGCTAACTGGATACGCTGGCGGAGCACCAGTGAAGGGTGATAGATGAGAATGAAAACATGCCAGTTAGCCCATCATAATGAATTCATCAGGAATTAAGCATGATAGTTTCCAGGGAGAACCGCGAGGAGATCGACCTGGTTGGGTATATTGCTAGCAATGGGATTCTCAGTCTCCATTACTAACAATCCCTTTCCCCCGACATGTATGTATTATATACATACATAACTGTCACACCTGTCTCCCATTAGGGTAGGGAGAAACAATTTGTTATTAATAATCCTTATTTTTAGAATAATATATAAATTCTGTAATCTGAAAATCTCTAATCGTAGAGTACACGATCAGAAACGATATATACACAAAGAAAACTTATCTAAAAATACAGAAATAAATCGTATGCAGCATCACGACATCGGAAATGCGTGTCTAATAATCGAAAAAAGTTTTACTAATGTTTTTTTTTTTACTATCTGTTGTTACACCGAAATGCGCATATACCTGCCAGACCCCCACCGGGCTGCCAGAGCCTCACGTCGACGGATTAATGCCGGGTTTATTAAAAAAATAAAATAAAAAAATATAACTAAGAAGATAAGCCGTGAGTTTGTTATATGAGGTCGCTATTTATGGTTCTTATAAATTATAATTGACCCGTGATGATCTTTACGTTACGTTAACCTTAAATTGGTTTGACCTACGTCAAATATGTAACGTTTCTACTCTGATGTTCAGGATATTATTATAATATTTTTATTCTATTATGAGATATTATTTTGAATTTAAATGGAATGATAATCTACGCTAGTGGTTTATGCTGGCCAGATACCAATGGTTAGTAATGGGGACTAACAGTCCCATTGCTAACAATATACTTTATCAGGTCGACTGCCACGTGGTTTTCCCCTAGAAACCATCTTGGTTAATTATTTATGAATTCGTCAAGATAGACCTACTAACCTTCTTTCATCCCCACCTATCATCTCTCACTGGTGCCTCGTCAGCACAACAGATAGGGTTACCATCCATTATCACCCATTATAAAAAGTATCTACACACTTCCTACCTATGTATCATAATATACGTAAGTGTGCTATAACTTCATCGAATTTGCAATGGAATGTAGAAAAATTACTCACAATTATTCGCACCTGAACAGTTTTAGGAACTATAAACACAATAATACAGCAATTACTTAGAGAGATCCTATATTTAATAACAAAACAAACAACGTACGCTGCACCGCGCCTGATCGTATCCGTACGGTTTACGCGCCAAACGTAAACATAACCTCAACCCACTAAAATACCAATAGAAACATCATAACACACACTAATAACCCCTAATTCAATGTAATACAGTTTAAAATTACCGGGAATTATAAATTTCAATTCGTAAATGTATTATGTCAGGTGATAAACAAAAGTGAAGATAGGGAATTGTGCGCGCGAAATCTGGATAATTTCGCGCGCTCTGTCAACAAACATGGCCGCTTCTGCCAACAGCTGTAACGAATGTGTCGAAATATCGAATTAGGTATAATTTGACTATCCCATTTTATTATGGCACGCAACGGTAATACTTCATGAGATTTTAAAGCATATTTAAAGAGCGTCCTACTTGGTGTGCATTTAAAAATGTATTTAAACTAAATAAATAAAATGGCGTAAACAAAAACTAGAAGAGAAATAAGAGCGAGGAAACAAAAAGGTTAAACAGGAACTACTGTGAGACCACGTATATACATGAAGATTTTTGTATATTATTGTATACAAAAATCTTCACGTATGCAGTTGCTAAACAACTGTAGAACGCAATAGTTATCTTTCAAACATTAAATGAATATTGAAATATAAGTTTAGAAACGAGGATTTATTCCTTTTAAAAAATCTCATAAAAAATGCCTACAAACAATTAAATTACTTTTTTAACACTCAAAAATATTCTCTTAGTTTCTTTTATTGTTGCTAAGTATTGACTCAACTAGACTTTATCCTTTTTGTACTATGCTTTAAGTATAAAGTCAGATATGATATATTCATAAAATATCAAGATAATTTTCGACCTACAACAATGTGCGTGCGTCGATTTGGATCTGGGATTTTAATTCTAATTTCTAATACCGCAAATTTCGCATCTCTAATTTCACTTTTGCGGTGAAGAAAAATAGTGTAAAGTATGGTGAAATTGTGGCAAAGATGTACCCATAGTGAATATTTTATTTTTTCAACATTTATACTTATTAGGTTTTTAAACTTTGCAATGTCTAATTATGGCAAAATATGTCTGACTTATTCCTATTGTTTATATTATGTATTTACCATGTTTCTTATGAATATTCATTCATTCATTCTACTACCAATACTATGAACGTTACAGTTTGTATAGATTTTTTAATATTTAGTATTAAATCGTGTTTAAATGGCTAAAAGGATTCATATGAAATCTTACCTATATGTAGATCCTTTTTTGGCAAACAGCCTGACGGCCCACCTGATGGAAAGTGGTAAGCTTCGCCTATAGACATGAGCAGTACCATAGCCATAATAGAGTATATCGCGTCGCATATGATACCCTCATGCGTTGCTATTCCTGGAAATTAAACTGTCATGTCTCTATACCTTATAATTTAAATGTACTATGTCT